ATGTGATCACCCAAGATAAAGTTGATGCTGTTCTCGATATAGTGTTGGACAGACGAGTAACTGTTAGCTATTGCACTTGCCATTAGCAAACCATTTTGCAAATGAACAAACTGTTAGTCCGCTGGGTGCCCAGAAAGTTGACTGAAGATCAAAAAGGTTAGAGAGTCATGGCTAGTTAACTGTTTCTCGAGGATTATTGGAGAGATCTATGGGAATTCTTGGGTACTATTGTTATTCGGGATAAAAAAACCTGCGTTTATCATTTTCACTCTGAGGCAAAAAGTCAAAGTATACAGTGGAAGCATGTAACGTCACCAACGCCCCAAAATTTCAATATTGACGTCTTCCAGTGGCAAGATAATGGCATTTGTTATCTGTGATTCCGGATTCGAAATAATAATAGATTATCTAACAGGTTGCATGAACAAATCAAAGAAAAGTGCTCCAGTTTACATCGTCAAAGTAGCAGTGAGCGCTTCAAGGTCCTCCCTCACAGGCAGCCTATTCTCCAGATCTAGCTCCCTCTTTCTTATCCTTCTTCTCACAACTAAAATCTGTACTCAGGGGCCGCAGATGTGCGCCTGATGATGAGGTCACCACGGCTGCGGAGGAGCTTTTAGCGCCACTTGACAAAAAGCCGTTAAATATGCTGGAGAAGCAACGGGAAAGGTGCATTGATGTCCAGAAGTGTGTGTGTGGGTGGGTGGGTGTGTGTGTGTGTGTGTGGGGAATAAGTACAACGATTTTAATATGTATCGCATATTACTTATAGTGAGGTTGAAAACTCTTGTGATGCCCCTCGCATTCTCAACGTTTATGGAAAACCGTTCATGGAACAAAAATCGAGGTTCTGTGCACGCATTGGCCTGCACTTAAAAGATCCCTCGGCAATTGGAATTCGATATAAAAGTAGACTGTAGCGCCGCTGTCCCGGCAAAATTTCCCTCATAGCACACTGTATGGCGTATGTCCGTCCTCATTAGCCCAGTCGAAGCAGAACAGTAGCACGTTAAACCGCATTTCGTTTCATTTAAAGATAGGTTCCCAGAAAAGTATTTATCGGTGGTTATTTCTAATAAAAGTATGGCAATGTTGGTATATATGGAAAGTAGAGATATCCAATCTTGCTAGAAAAATACTGGATTCCCTGAAAAACACTCATGGAGCGTATACATTACAAAAATGCAAGGGTTCACCTAATCGACAGCCCGACGATAAGGAATACCTGCACGCGTGACGTCGAAGGTTGCACGCGAAAATTAAGCGCTTGGTGTACATATTGATAAACTTTACGAAGAGTTAGACATACAACACTGTCTGAGATAAAAATGATGGAAAAAAGACGTGGGTAGTGGATAATCCGAGAATTTAATTAGGATTCGATATTTGTAATAAATATTCAGCAATTAAAGACAACATCGTCTTGTGTATAAAATGAATTCCCCTCCGACTTCGCCCCCGTTGCTATAGGTACCGAGAGAGGTAAGCCACGTGACACAAACATGACCCCTTTTGATCGATTTTTATAGCAGGGTATTCCTTGGCAATTACAATGTTTTGAGAAGGATTTGAATTCAAAATTATGATAAATTAATTAGTCCAAATATATCATCAAATCACCCAGTTTGTACGCGGGAATGTATCTTTAACAAAAACGTTCAGCATTGTACGACCACAATTATTGAAAGTTTGGCTTACATCCACGCCGATTGTGGGTCTAATTTACTACAGATTTTGTTTTAATATTCTAATTACAATTTAAACAAATAACCAATTTCGAAATGTTTTACATAATATCATTTGTATTTGTATTTTACCACGTTTCTTCGTTAATGACAGAGATCCATTTGAAAAAGGCAAATATTAGATACATTCTGAAAATTGTTTTGCAAATACTTTTAAATATTGTTCTAACATGTAAATACCATTATCAGGACAAAGCTTTAGGCCATAAGTTGCCATAGTTTCGTTCCCCAGTTTAAAGGTAGTCTATCGTTGATTTAGTTGCCGTTGCCAGTTTTATATGGTTTAGGGTTGCCTGTCAAACCTGATTGAATTTTTTCATCGCATTATCTTGTCCCACAGTTAAAGACCCATACCCTCAAACGTATATTGAAATAAAAATACACCATAAAATACACTCGAGTTATCTATTATATTCGTCTAGATTCTCAAAAAGAGGTCGCGTTCTTGATTGATTTCCCTATTATTCATAAGTATATCGCACATATCAAAGAAAGTAAAATATCATCTTCTTAAAATGTGTTAATTAGTAATTCACCTTTGACTCATGCCGGCCTATACAATTAGAGACGGAATAGCATCCTTATATGTAATGGTATAAGCTTGATTGATATGTAGTCTAATTATTGCGCACATAAATTGATCTATCTGCCACACGTAAGTAATTAATAGATATGTAATTCCAGGCGTGCCTTTGACATTGGTGTCTTAATTATCAATTATGTTCAAAATGATCAATATCATAAATCTGTGTATGATTTTATTTTTGTCGGAATTCCGCGCATATCATGAAGTTCATTTAAAAGGTCCCCCGATTCTAAAATAATCCATTCGACACATATCTAAAGGGAGTAACAGGTTGTGCTAGCAGAATCATGGCTTCTAAACTCTTAACAGGTAACTTCAAGTAAACGAACTGTTCAGAGATAATCTTGTTGAACATTATTCTACTATATATATTATACAGCTAAAATAAGTTAAATTGTTTAAGATTAATTTAGCAATTGATCAGATTAGATAAAACATAAAACTTTTATGAAATACAATTACTGTAACGGTAAGAGAATCAGTGTTACAACGTTGCTCCTATTATATTCAGTAGTTGCACTGCGAGACAGACCAAATTTACAATTGTAAACTGGTCAAATAGAAAGATTTCTAGTTTTAAATTAAATATTTGTTTAAAAGACTAACGTAACAAAGTTTATGTCATATTAAAACTAAAACTACATTCGTTTATATAAATATGTATGACTAATTAAGTCATCAAAGTATATCTATAATAAGAATACCTGATCAGGTGGACTTGGTGTGTATTATTTTAATTTCATTACTTATGCTGCCGGTTTCTTGTTTATCTAAGTTTAAAGCTGGTGCTATATGGGCTATATGGAAAGATTTAATTCTGATATCAAAGCTATATATACTCGAATAGTAGTAATATTTGATTTTCAGCCATCCAATCTAATTCTACCATTTGTTATGTATTTATTTTTTTCTTTAAAAATGGATTCTCGAAACATTGCTAAAAGACTTTAGCAATCAATTGGTTGAAAAAATTTTTAAGGGTTCAGCAGCAAGCTGAAATATTTTAAAATCTAAATTTTCTGGTGTCGGCATTTTACACGCAAAAATACAGATGAATCAAGCATTCTGATTTCAGTGTTCGAATCATGACGTATTTACGATACATATTAATTGCTTTTCAATTTGCAAACGCGCTAATCAGAATAATTTTAGAGTTTGTGGAGTGATGCTTACAAATCAGAAACTCGTAATGCGACGTGATTCCAACGAATCCTAAGACTGCTTACGCGCGTAGACACTTTTTTGTTTATTTGAAGTTATTTCACAGACGTGAAGAAAAAATCAGTCCAGAATTACTATTTTTCCATAGAATATTTCTGATAAGGTTTATAAAAAAAAGGTTAAAAGGGACAACCCGTTTCCGTTTGTTCCATAACGCTAACTAAATCTTCTGATGCGTTTTTAGAGGAATTCGTTGGTAAAGTGTTTATACTAGAATGAATTACAAGTGATCAAGATATCAGTCTTGCCGTATAAAGTACCCATTTTAATTCAGAAATAATAAAATAGGTCTCACAATTACATTGCGACATCGTAAATTGCGACACGATCCTTGTTTACAGCAATATGAGCAGCAGAAGCATTATTCATAAAAAAAACTATAAATACCTACCGGTATCTTTTTATTTCAGTTGTATTATCTTTGTCTGTGGTGTGTTGTCTGGTTGAAATCGTTGCTGGACAGCAGGCAGGAAGTTCACAATGCCAACAAACATTTTTAAATAATGCCATGAAATGTGTTCAAAATGGAAGTATAAACTATAATCATTTAACATATTTGACTAGCAACGGAACACGAGGACAACCACCAACTGAAGGAACAGAAGCATTTAAAGCCAGAGCATGTCTGTAAGTTATTAGAATTAATTATTTGTTAACCAGTTTTAATTGTAAAAATGTATCACTGAGACTTGACAACGACTTTATTCTGTGATCAATATTTCCTTACAAATTTCAATATTTGTTTACTTATTTTGTTTGTGTTTAGATCCAGACCCACAATAGATGCATGTGGTCAGATGATAGCAGCAACTATGGTTAACAGCACTATGTGTATGAATCAGTTAGAACAAAAGCAAATTATGTTACAAGCTGCTAGTATATTTGGCGAATTCGACCGGGTTTGTGCTCATCGTAAGTAAATATTTTTAACTACCCGACTACCATTAGTATTCACCAAAGCCTGTCAAGAAAGAAACTTATAACTCTGTTTAGCAATTCTACACCAAAATATTAAGAAAGGTGTGCGTGCAATTGAGAGAAAACGGGGGAGAAATGATTTACCTAAATATCTCGCTCTATTCGCTAATTAATAACTTCCAGATATTTAGTAGTCTGACTCCATACATGTAAAGCAGAATTATTTCCCTTTAACACTTTGCAATTGTATCTCTCCACCTTGTGCAGCTTATATAGATAGCGTACCAGTTATTTATGTAAACGTGTTTAATCATCTCACACGCAACAGCATGCAGTTTGGCGAACTGGAACGTACATAAATAAAGACGTTTCTTGGAGATCGCGTATACGTTTAACCTTCTTATTGCGTTTCGTCTGAAATTACTTCATTGCACAATTTTAATATCGCCTTTACTGATAGTTTTTCATTTTAAATCATTATTGGCCATTTGAATTCAAAATTATTCAGCTCATTTCTATTTCAGCTTGTCGTTATACTTTAATGGATGAATTTCGTCAATGTTTCTCATATTCTTTAAACTCCGGAATGAACTCCCAGACATTTTTAACTGATGCATCAATCGGTCGAGGTGGAATCATTGGTATGACCAGAGAACAAGTCTATCAGTTCTGTCCGTAAGTTCTATTTAGCTGTCTTACATACACGCATCAGTTGATATGTGTAAAGTTTTAATTACAATGAAAGAGAGTTAATGCTTTTAATTAATATTAACATGTTAATAGGTAGTCGTGGTGCTCGGGCACAGATCATTGTCTGGTCCTTTTTTCGTTTGCTTTATTAACATTTTAAAGCTATGAGTTTTAATTTGCAGGGAAAAAGCTCCAGGGCGGGCATGGAAAGCCTTTCTAGTCAGGGCGTTTGAACGAAAATAATTGATAACCGATGTACACATTGTAAGGTTACTTAAAAAATACTGTTAGAATAATTTATCTGGAAGCATAATAAACAAAATAACTTAATAAAGTAATCGAAGCAAAGCCTAAACCCCATCCGATTCCAGTTTAAGTTTCTAGAAAGAAGTTTTGTTTTATCCTTGAACTGTCATTCGCCTATCACCATGTCGAAACTCGAGGCTACGGTGAACACGTACGAAGCGCGCGAAACGCCTTAACCACAGTTCATAGCGAGAAAAAAGAAACCTAACCCGAAAAAAAAGATGCAAGGGCTTTTTTGTTTGAGGAAATAGTTTTTAATCCCACCCAGCTTTGATGATTTGTCAGTTTTGTAGATTTGTTTTTCATAAATGTTTCTGTGGAAAAACGCATAACCGTAAAAATGTGTCTGCTTTATTAATAATAGACATGTACTATGATAATGAATGTGTTTTATAATGTTGGATTGCTCTATATAAGTAATTTACCAATAAGATGACGTCCAGCCTGTCAATATATGATATATTAATTGCCCCGAGCTGTATATTAATCTATGATCAAAGTGCACAGGAATTCGTTTATTAATTAGTCATCGCATTTTTAAGATATTAAGCGATTATAAAACATTTAATCAAGCTTTTACTGAAATAAAACATGCATATAGCAAGTCCCTAAGAACGTGGATACACTTATTTCTAAAAGGCTGATTGAACAAAATTTAAGATGATTTTATATGATTATTATTCTAAACTTCCAGTAATCGTCAATCGCTGATGTCCTGTATGAAAAATAAGATGAACATGTGTCCAGATGGTGTCTACGTTCTCCAGAAAATGAACATAGATATTAGAGCTCTAGAGAAGGGTTTAGATCTATTGTGTGCCCATCCTAATGGTAAGATTTAGTATATTATCATAAGATTGTTAATAAATGTACATAGCCGATTATGTCGTCGATTGTAGAAAAACTTAATGTAGGATTCACAAATCGATTTCAAAGGTAATAAAGTACGCTTTTTGAATTTTGTCATCACGAACTATATTTTGTCTTGAAGTCTCAAATACATGGAAATTTGGAATACATGTAGGCTTATTCAGATTTGGCAATTTCTTTCAGGATCCGCTGTTGCGATACTTTTTAAAAACAATTTATCTGAACAAGACTGTATAATCTTACTTAATATGATGCTTGCTCTCGGCATGTATACACCCTAATGTGCGCTGACGCATTTACACTCAAGGCTTTCTAGAATAATGATTATATAACAAGTTTTCTCTGAAATTTAATTATTTTAAAGCACGTTTCAGTTGCTTAATTTTAAGAATAATTTGTGTCTTTGATGCTTGTTTTTTGGACGGTTAAGGCGTCAAAGACCAAATATATTTGTTTCGATATCAAAATTCTAGATCGAGCGACATAATCATTCTTTTATAGCACAGTAATGATGAAATATGTTAAACATATATAAATGGAAACCTTTTCATTATATTATATGAGTTATTAACAGTTATTAATGTATTGTTTTTTTCAGTTTATTTGGCTGGTTTACCATGTTTTACTGATCCCACTCCCGAGGTACGAGTTTGCTTTCAGAATATGGATATGAAAATCACACAAATAAACATGTTAAGACAACAACAACAACTGACAGATCAACAAAATTATATGCAGATGTGCAAGTAAGTATTATATAAGAATATAACAGACAGTCAAATTTTAACTGGATAATGAATTTTATCCTGATCTGACAAAAGAAAGTGACAGCCAAAATACACATTTTGGAAAAAACGGACGAAAACTGTCTGATCATTCGACGAGAAGGTATTTCTAATAACGTCAAATTATGTTGGTTTATGTAATTTTTAAAACATTCAACAACATTGCATGTTATATTTTTATTATGGCGAACCTACTTTTGTCAGTAAAACTGAACGTTGTTAAATTTCTGGATTCTGTTTACCGATATCAGAGAGTAATTGTCATTTTTAAGTCAATAATGTTTTGTAAAAACACTATCACTATTTCTTTTAACAAATGAGAGTAAAACATAAAGTTATATCACAAGAGATGTTTACTTCTAATTTGATAAAAAAATATAATGACACGACCATTTGTCTATACTAATGTTTATAGCGTTTGGGCTGTTCTTGTCAGCATATAAAATTGAATTTAAATTTTGATTAATTGAATGATGTAATTCTTTCTCAGTGTTCGTCTGGAACAAATGGAATGTGAAATGGGAGCATGGAGAAGACGTCAACAGGCACCATGTGATAACGCCATCTTGGGTTTAAGAAACGAGTTGGAATGTAAATTATTACCGGAGCACTGTCTTAGTATGTTTCCAAGTCAAGTCCAACAACACTGTTCTCCAATGAACTTTTACATCCAGGAACGTGTCCATTATGCCGGAGCCACAGCCACAACAGTAACCGTTTCTACTTTGATAACCATGGTTATTTTTGCTACATACTTTAAGGAATAACCACTTTGTCATATGAACTCTAAAATGCTGACTTACTGGTTTACCGATGTTAAAGCCGCTGAACATCATTTGCATTTTGCGGAGATTGTCTAATTCTCTATTCTCAAATGTACCCAGATCAATTTTTTATCTTTTAATTAAGAACACAAAACCAAAATATCAACGGTAGATAATGTCCTGGCCTGTGTACAATTGGATTAAAAAAAGTACATCAAAATATTTTAAAGACACTTATAGGTGGCACTGGCTTGTTTATGTTGCGAAAATTTTAATTTATCATATCTTTGTAAATACTGAACGTTGTGAATTGATATTCCTTTTAGATATTCCACTTTCACAATATTCCACTTTCAAAATATTCCACTTTCACAATATTCCAGTTTGAAAGAGATTCAGCGTCTTTAATAAAAATATTTTACGATATTTTCTGAAGATTTGTTGCAATAAAGACTTACAGAAAATGTTTGAATGCGACTCCATTTTGTAATTTATATAATAATCATAATGTACATAAATAGCTCATATATTTGAAACTTTGATTGTATTTGAATGAAGTCTAATCGACTGATGAAACAATGAAAGACTTTTTTTTCACTCATCATTATTTTCATTATTGTAAATAATTCAAATATTATTATTATTATAAAGACAACGATTTGTCTTCTACAGTAGTAGCATTGTCCCATTGTACAGAAGTCAATATATACGTTATTAGTTGTATATTGGTTTGATATTAAATATATCTTATTTTTTAAGTTTCTTAGTGTTCAGTTGAAAATATAATGGTTTATGGAACACAATTACTATGGTGTCTTTTGAATATATGTCTTTTATTATATAATTTTATTTCTTAGTTAGTTTTTCAGGGTAATCCACAATGGAAATCTCATAAAAAACTTCATATCCCAAATTCCGAAATTCCACATTTGTTCAAAGTTATTAAATTGTGCATGTGTTTGTAAAGAAAATAAATCATATATTTCTCAGATTTTATGCAAGATTTTGACAAGAAAAGAAATATTTATTATAACTTGTATTCAAGTGCTTACATTGGCTTAGTGTATTTGTATATTTTGTACGTTCATGCAATATTTTCACTAATAAATTGGTTGAAAACAAGACTTCTGGTTTCTTTACATTTTAGAAATTATTGCTACCCCCATACAGATACAAGTCTCATATATTATATCAATGTGTTGATATTTACATGTAAGAGGAAGAAGTATTAGGTTTCAAATTAAATGTGTCTGAAATAGATGTATTTAACTTCCACTTCCAAAGTTATGTGTGTTTGAAATAGCTGTATTTAACCTCCACCACCAAAATTAAGTGTTTTTGAAATAGCTTTATAAAACGTCCACTTCCAAAAATGTACCTAAAATAGCGTTATTTAAAATTCACTCCCCAAATTAAGTGTGTTTCAAACAGTTTTATTGAGTATCCACTTTCAAAATAAATTGTGCTTTATTGGACGTCGGCTTCGAGAAATAAGTGATATCGCAGAAAGAGAATGCCATTCCTGCTAATAACCCGATCTCTTGGTGAACTATCAAAATGTAAACGTGCGGGTATAAAATTTAGCCATTACAAAAATAGAAACCTAACTTTATGTTTATGACCATTAAATTGAATACATATATAAAGAAATCGTATTCTATGAAAACTGAACAGATTCCCCGGATATCATTTCCACCATATATTATAAATTTCTAAAAGATTTCTCATGTTGGCAATAATTGCAAAAGCTACTTGCTTTAAACCAGGCAAGTTGAACAGAAGGTGGTGTCTGCTGTGCTATATCACCACCAACAGCAGCTCTAAGAATGCTGCCAGAAGAAATCATTCTAAGTTTTAAATAGTTTGGGATAAATTACATGTCCCACGTTAAGCGAGAATAAGCTAATATCTTGCGGCACTAGATGTAACACCTTCATCAATCAATATACTGTTAACGAACTTTCTTTACATATTACATAGAATTATACGCCCCCTGGGTGTTATTAAGGTGAGACCACTACAGCAAAACATTTAAGCCACTAATCATACTTTAACGAGCGTAATTAGTAATTAATATAAATTAGTGATCAGTGTCAGATGTTAAAAGATATCACATTTTCCTTGGGCTCTTTTTCTTTTTTCATAAAAAAAAAATATGATTAATTTTCTTTATTAAACAATTCCAAGAAATTAGCACGAATTTACTGAAAAGTTACATTAATTTTAGTTCATGATTTATTTAAACAAATTCTAAACACAGTTTATAAATATATTCTTAGAAATGTTTTTCCAAATTGAAATAAACTTGGGTCCGCTAAACGGATGTCTCACAGTAATGGCGGGTGTCACGCACGAATTAGGGTATACTACCCTTTCCGGAATGGGGGGTTGGATGGCCGAATGATTAGCGCGTGCGCGCTGTATCATAAGGTCTGTCATTGACTCAACTGGCGTGGTTTCGATTCCCCGGTTGTACGTGACAAGGAGTAGGGTCGTCTGTCCAACCTTGTGGAATTTAAATCCCATTTCTCTCTCTCCCCTTTCCGGAATACCCGGTGACGCGCTTTTCAATTTTGGCTTCCTCATGCTTCCATTCTACTTGCGTGACTAGTGTACATGACTGTCATTTAATTTTAAGGGGTGCCGGGGTGGGGGGGGGAGTGGGTGTTTTTGCCGGGGTGTGAGTATATAGAACGATTTTTTTTAAAAGCCGTAGCTATTGCTTTTCAAAGAATAATATTAATAATTATAGATATTATATACTGGAATATAAACAATAGGTCACAATTTAACGTGTCAGTAACGATGGGTTTCCATCAAATGATTTCCCAGTTTTCTTTCTCTGTGATGTATCTCGAATTTTTCTAAACAATAAATATTTTGCGAATACTATTCATTTAACATAAATAAAATCCATATATTTTCCGTTTGAATCACAAACGTGAAGAAAAATACCCAAATCATACCGTAATTTATTCAAATAAGGTTCGTTCATCGCTTTGAAAATATATGTAACCGAAAGACCTTGAAACCAGTATAAAATCCCCCGCACCCCCCAACTTCATCTTTCTGTAGATTAGAGCGCATTTCCTGAAAATTCGAATCTAAAGCAAAAACAGAATTTACGGTGTACAACTTCTTCTCCTGAACCGTTTGATGGATTTTAACTAATTTTGGTCCCGATTAATTCAAATAAAGTAAACCTGACCTCATAAGAGAAAGGTGTGATTATTATTTGCCTTTTTTCTAACCCATTCAACAGAATGTCTCCCTTGTGCCCCACACCCCCAAAATGTATTCCTGATGTACACACATGTAAACTGATAATGGTGTCCTGTAGCTTATGATCTTTCACCAGTTCTTGAAAGTTTTATTTCCTCATTTCGGAAAAGAAAAATGTAGCCACTAAGTAAAGCAGATTTAAAACGGTATAATTTCAGGTGTCTAGCAAATTGTTGATGCTTTGTTGGGTCAGCTCGTCACCTTTGACGCACAGATTATCTTAAACCGGTTAAGTTTCTGAATTCAGGTCCAGTAATATTTATTTATAAGTGGCTCTGGGTGTCGTATACGATGAAGAGTATGCTTACTGTTTCTAGAACACCCGATAGCTATTAAACTTTAGTTGTGCTTATGAATTTCAAACCCCAGAGATGCTGTTCTTTTGAAATCGTCCTTAGCAGGGCGGTGGCTCAGTGGGTAGGGCGCTGGTTCACTAACCAGGGTTCGATAACGGTGTTATCAGAGAAAGTTCCCGGTTTTTCTAGAGTGGTTTCGGACGGGTGAGGGGTGGCAACTGACAGTGTCTAGTTGTTCGGTTGGGACAATATACCGAGGAACCGCGTACACGTTGGCGTACACGAAAAACACACCTTTAAAGTTGGAATTCATTTGCTGTCCGGGCAAAATGTCCTTCATAGCACACTGTATGTCCGTCTACATTAACTCGATTGGTGGAATTCGATATAGGAGTAGGTCATAGTGCCGCTGCCCGAGCAAAATTTCCCTCATAGCGCACATTGCATGGCGTATGCTCGCCTTTATTAGAGCAGAACAGTAGAATGTTAAACCCCATTTCATTTCATTTCAAAATGTGGTACAATAAAAAATAAGTATATTTGTTAAATAAATAAATAAATAAATAAATAACTGTAAGATCACGCCTACCACTACTTGTATCACCTAATCAATCAATATTAACAGTTTAGCCCTTGATATCTCCTTTAATCCCCCCAGGGTCTGGATAAAAAACAGAAATCTCGGGTTGAACAGGGCTAAAGTAATTTACATGAGAGTTCATTAATTAATCATAACGCTTGTTACTTCCTTATATAGTTAAACGTACCCTGTATGAAATCTAATTAAGCTTATTGCCCCGTGAAAAGTTTTATGATTGCAACGTCATAAAATACATCTCACGTGATACGTCGCGGACGTTACGTCATATTATAACATGAACTCCTCCATGAATAGAGCGTCAACCCTTTAAATAAAGTTAGTGGATACTGCAAAATCATTCGAGTCACAACATCAACAACTCATCGGATCAGGAGTAGTGTATTCTGTGGAGTTATTAGAAGTATTTTTTTCTGTTTCAAGATGTGGTCTAAAATTTTTAGCGGTAAGTTCGGACATCGATATGACTTCTTGGTAATTTTTGAAAAATTAATAGAAGGGTTTCTTGTCATCTGCAGTCATTTTTTAAAATCAGTTTCCAAAATGATATGGCGAAAAGTCCTGCGGATTTTAGTATATAAATTGGGGAAACATTCAAAAATAGCTCGGATCTGTTTACATTGTGTATAATAAAATTGTGTTTTTAATTAACAGCCCTCTTCGTTGCCAGTGCCATTGGAGTAATAATGGCCCAGCAGCAACAAATGTCACAGTGCCGTACAACATTTATCAACAATTTATATCAATGTGTATCAAATAGCAGCATGGAAGTAACAAGTTTCCTATGGTTAGTTACCAACCAAACAAGCGGTTCCGCCCCTGCTAACATGGAACAATTTAAACAAACAGCTTGCTCGTAAGTTTTAGAGGTTTTTTTTTCTTTCTTTATTTCAAAACAAGGAGATTTGGAGAAGTTCTATTTTTACCAACGAAAAGTAAAATAAAATTTAGAGTTAAATGAGAATAGACCATGAACCACCACTGACTTTTGCAAAACAATTAAAATTGCATTTATACAGGAATTAAACTTTTATCATACAATAAGTAAATAATATTAATATATTTTTTAAAGTCAATTCTCCGTTAAAAGAATTTATTAATTAGATCTAAATCGGTTGAAACTGAATTAGCCAGATAACTGTAACTGTACTCAATTACCGTAATCACTATGTGTCCGGGCTACGTATGTGATTTTATTACCACAGTCACGAATTAACACAGCAGTGTCGTTGACCTTACGTTGTTACGTCGTATTCGCGATCTGCTACAAGGAAATGTTAATATATATTTAGTATATTAAAACATACATAGTCGTTGTACTTGTACATATACTAATTATCTACCTAAAATTATATTACCCATTTTCTTGTAAATGAAGAACTTATTTATACTCCACTCGATGAAAAACGTTACATTCTAGCCTTTATAAAATAATAATGACCATTACAGGTCTATATTAAAACTATTTCATGTGTTACCATTTTCTTGGAAATGACGTTTGCAAATAAGATAATTCATCCGTATTACATATTATAGTAAGTACAATTTTGGTACACACCACGGGTTTCCCGGAAGTACTGTTAAATTGTAACGTAATATAAGATAAAAAAAAAGGCAATTTTAGTACGAAATGAATTTAAATTCAAGGGTACATTTGAAAAACCTGCACAGTCTCTAAAACAAGTTCCATCTTTCTTTATAGAAAACAGACCGAAGTAACCCAGTGTGGCATAGATTTTATGAGAAAACTTATGAATTCAACTTTGTGCAACCCCGCCAATCAACAAGATGAACGACCGGCTATAGATACAAACTTTAGAGCTATCTTTGGTCAACTAGACATGGTTTGCGCTCATCGTAAGTATTTATTAAATAACCAGAATAACATGTCATCAATCAGACTTTAATCATACAAAGGCCACAACAATCTGAATTTCTGTTCTTCGGGAAAACCTATTCAAAATTCTGTCTTCAATTTCTTTAGTAATAAAATTAATTTATGAAGCAAAAGGTACATACTTGCTATTCTCAAAAGCTTTTGGTTCCAAATATTTCAGTCTTGAATTGTTAACAAATCGTACACAAGAATTGAATGGGCTTTTTATAGATCAAGACCGCTAAAAACTAAAAATTAAATTGGTTTGGCCTAATTATTTGATAAACTAATTTAACTCCAGTATTTAAAATATCCATGAATAACGCCCTTTGCATACCCCTCTATAATCATTTTGGTATCCAATCAATACAAAAGTCAGAATTTCAAACTTTGTATTTGCGAAATACAATGGAATTGTAAGATTCCAAATGTCTTTAGATGTAGCATGTTTTAACCCCGCAGAAATAAGGGCCTATTGCTCCAAAAAGATAATAAATATTTTTTGTCACGTCTTTACAGCATGCAGAGCCACCCTTGTCGGCGATCTTAGACAATGCTATACTGTAGCGGAACTTGACCCTGAACTATTTTTATCAAACGCTACCATGGGACGTGGTGCAGTTATTGGAACAACAGAAAAAGACGTAACCCAGTATTGCGGGTAAGTTAAGGACAGTAGTTTTTTAGTCCATGGTAGCCATGGCACTGGCTCACCAACCAGCAGGTCCCGGTTGCGATCCGGGTGTTGTCGGAGAAAGTTCCTAGGGTTGTCCCATTTTTGTTGCCACTTCTCAGTGCTGCAGACTAGGGATGCATAGCATGGAACAACATTGAGTTTTTCGGATCGAACGTAAAATTTAAATCACTTTAGTATAATTGCTGCAGGAAAATAGGACGTTAAGCCCCGTTTTATTTCTTGGATTCATCTCTTGCCTATACCGGCGATATAGTTATTGCCTTTAAAACAATGTAATCATATTTTCAGACATAAAGATGCCCTAACCAAGTGTATGAAAGAAAAACGAGATGCTTGTCCTGAATCACCCGTCATTCTACGAGCAATCGGTCTCGATATTGAATCTATGGATAAAGGTGTCAATATTTTATGCGCACACCCTTCCGGTATGTATTATGACAACTTTAATGTTAGAACGCACTGTTTCTTTTTTTTTTGATGGAGAACTAACGAGCGTTACTCATCTTCTTGTTCTTGGGGACGACACTCTTCCAAAACAGCCCAAGGCTCTGCCAATCAAGTCTCATCGAAATGAAACTGGGCATGTTTGTATCTTGGACAATGACGCATCGATATTCAATATGACGTCACAAGTCTAATGTTCGGTCCCGGGTCCATAAAGAACTATCGTGCACTAAAGATGGTAGCATTGCACAAAATAATATTTTAGCTTGGGAACCAGAAGATACGCCCATGTGTGTGTGTGTGGTTTTTTTTGGTTGATTTAATCGTTGTTTTATAGGATCTGTCCATATTTCTTTTTCAAACGCTGGGTAAGGATAGTTGTGCTAATTTATGTTTTATCTCTTTGCAGTGTATTTGAAAGGAATTGACTGTTTTGAAGAACCAACAGCCGCTGTTGAAAAATGTCAACAAGACCAGAATGAAATGATGATTAACTTAATGATGACAGCTCAACAAACCGAGATGAAAGAAGACGTATTTTTCAAAAACTTTTGCGAGTAAGTAGGAAACATTAATAACCATTTTTAAGACCTTGAATATATATATATTGTTGACATAATACAGCTAAGCTCAGTGAAGGAGTTCGTCTTTAGACAATTACTGCGATTGGCTAAAGCGCAGATCTGATGGGAGAACTAAAGCTTTGTTCTGGGTTTGTTGTCATGTTGCGATTTAATCCCCCCCCCCCGCCTACATAGTTTTTATGTACAAATATTTTAATATTTCAGAATCCGAGTGAAACATGTCGATTGTGATTTAAAACAGTGGGCTTTGAAGAAACACGCTAGTTGTACAGACGTTGTTATTGGTCTACGAACAGAGATGGAATGTGGATTGTTGCCAACTCAATGTACTAATTTGGAGAAAGATAAACTAGCCGTTGTCTGCCATCTTGATGCCTTCAAAAGGATTAGCCGAGACAATGCTGGTGGTTCGTCATCCACCATTAACATGTCTGTTAGTCTAACGGCTGCATTTGTTCTTTTGTCTCAATTGCTCCAATCTCACTGATTTGGAATTAATCATTAGTTTTATCATATAGTCTATTGTTTATATGTATAAACGCGGATCATCCAAACTGAATATTGTTAAATATAGGTTATGTAAATGGTTCACTAATGTAAATAATTTATTAGCTATGACCTCTGGTTTGAAAACCGGATGACGCTAAGTAAAATCATTAGTGATTTGTGTATTTATTTTTAATGTAAACAATTCATAGATTCATGTTTATTAAAGGTTTGTTTTTTATGAGAATATAAGCTGCTCTTTGTTTTCTTTATTCCATAATTTGGTTGACGCCTGCCAAGCATTATGGGTTTCCTCAGATTTCCTCACACTGCTATAGACCCCTACGCGCAATGCAATGTTGTACCATATGTTAGTCCCAAACTGACCTATAGTTTGTGTCGAGAGGGTGTTAAATGCCATTGAAATGTTGTACCATATGTTAGTCCCAAACTGACCTAGTTTGTGTCGAGAGGGTGTTAAATGCCATTGAAATGTTGTACCATATGTTAGTCCCAATCTGACCTAGTTTGTGTCGAGAGGGTGTTAAATGCCACTGAAATGTTGTACCATATGTTAGTCCCAAACTGACCTAGTTTGTGTCGAGAGGGTGTTAAATGCCATTTCACTCTTTCGGTATGGCTGTACATGAAAAGCCACCATCTTACGTGTAGCTTGACCAAATGTCAAGAATCAAGGTCATTAATTACGCTTTCCACCCTCCCTTTTGCTTGTTTTCTACATTGTGTAGAGAGACACACGATGAGAAATTTGTTGTGTTGTTACGATACTTTTTTTTATTCAGTAGCCATATTATTATTAAGTTGCATGACAGAAAGTTTGAATATGCGCACGTAACAGACGACATAAAGGGGGGTAACTGATTTTGGCTCAGACCACTATTAATGATTATCAGTAAATATTAATACATTTCCCTTTTTCATAAAACAACGAAAATAATTAAACGCAAGTTAAGCTGCCCACAATGAATTGTTCCCGTTAAAGTTCTTTTAAAAATTTCTGAATAATCAAATAAAGTTAATACACCACCTTTGGGTATTTAAGAGGGTCACTCTGTATTATTGAATGGATAAATCCAAGTAAGTAAGTAAAAACAAGACACCACAGCGTATTATAAATACAAATTATTTATCATAGATGTTTAAATACGAGTGACATAAAGACGATTTGACATAAGAGGTTTAAACTTCATTGGGAACATTAATGTTTCGATTGGTTGTGTCATAGACTGCACTTTAGTTTATGACATGAGTTTAGGCGAGTTCAGTTTGTAACGTGTATCGCTATGCAATTGTTCAATGTTGACAGATGGGGGTTCACCATTGTGCATTTCCTTTTGGGAATTTTCAGTACATATAGGTTTCATTATTTCAAATCGTTCCTTTGGGGAAAATGTTTACGTTTATGTCGAAACATAATTGTTAAACTGTACGTTCTATTAAGCTTGAAGTTGAAGATGTGGGTAGAGTTGTAATTGTTCTCCTGTTATGGAGATGTTGGGTCGGATAACTTTCTAATCCATCCATTGTGGTAACCAGAAAGTCCGTATAATTTTTCATCTATTTCCTGATATTTCGTTGCCTGAAAGCCGACCATCTTAAAATGACCACCGTCTTAGATTTACGAGTACACCTAACGGGCTCTTTCTAAAGAGTACTCCTTAAGGAGTATATGTGGCAATTTTGATACGTTTGTTGTGTTTCGAAGCCCTACGCTAAGACTTGGTATCGGTATATAGGACTTTCTGATATAGGCCTCAGACCCACTACCCAACTTACTAAGATTCCAATTGTGGGCTGTCTTCGGATGAAGACTGATTCGCCAACTCTCGAATACCCAAGCTCTCCACAATACCTCAGCTCTGGTGTCTCCCGATGTCAGCAACCAGAAAACACAAAGCTCGGTCTGAATCTTTAATAGATCAACAATATACAGGTATCAGTACAGCAAGAATACACAAAAAGATATGCGGGTTCGAAGGCTCTTCCTCTAATGATCACGTCGGGGATGGGCTCTAAGTAGATCCGCTCCCTGGCTCTCACGTGGCAAGTCGGCTCTGACCCACTAGCGACGACCAGTTCTGAAACTAGTGAAACACAAGAGCTCCTGGTCCTGGGCTCCCTCAATGGAGCACGAGCACGTTTCCCTACAAACGGCTGCAGCGTTTCCCTATCAATTCTACCCCGTCGGATGCTCCTCCAAAATACCTCGAGACGTGTATGAAATAGCTTTATTTAACGTCCGTTCCCACCGAAGTGATATCGCTGACAATTACATTTTACATATAAAAGATGATTAGCAAAGGAGTGAAAGGATTGGTAAAATATTCACATATATATATGTACATAAAGTAAACATGGAAACACTTAAACATACATTATGCAAGAGCTAAATTTTTCTATTGCAGGTCTTTATTTAGGCCTGAAATGATATATAAACTATTAATTAGACATTTATTAACAAAACAAGACCTTAATCAACTCTCGACCGCATCGGATATTCGAGATTTTAACTAGATTAGAATGGTTCGCCATTTAAAAATTTAATTTAAAAATGGGAACGCTAGCCTAGGTCTCGAATATACCAGTGCCCTGGTTACCACTATGCACACATCTTGTCAAAACTACAAACAGTGATAACTTGGCTTAGAATGAAGTAATTTGAATGAAATTTTCAATATTTTCATTTTACATTATCTATTTTTGAGCTACTTGTCAAGAATGATCAGTTCTTTATCTAAATCTTACATAATGTATCTTTAAAGGACGGACTATATACATTTAACATACGGACGTGGACATATATACGTTTATGTAACAAGAACTGTAACGTGTGTGCAGATGGAAACAATCAAAAACAAGCACAACACTGGACGACACGAATTGACAAAATAGGCAGATTAAGACGAACAGACAGGCAAACACAACACTGGACAAGGCGCATGCACATAAAACAAACGAATATGCAGACGAACATTAGACAAATAAACATAGAATGTACACATATATGTATATAGGTCATTTGTGTAGGCCTGGTCGTTTTATCCGGTTGAATGGCAGGGCGGTGCAACTCTTCCTTGGGGCTTGTTAGTGAGTGTGTGTTCTGGTCCATGCTTATCGTGGTTTTCAGAAAAGTGACTAATTGGTATAAGTCTCATAAATTCACAGCTCGGGTGGCGATCCCCCCCCCCCCTTCAGCTACCGGACAATACGAGATATGACAGACGACCCTATATACTGATTGTGACGTACAATCAGGGAATCGAAACCAGACCACTTGACTCAATGACAGACCTTATGAGACAACGCACGCCTTAAACTTTAGACCATTAGCCATCAGGTGTTCCGAACTATAGCTGGCATAGCCTGTCTCCTAGATACCCGTCAATTTTTGTAGATAACTGGAGCCATAGTTTATACCGGAATTTTAGAAGCTGAAATTCCTGAGTAGAAGATAACGAGACCAACATCATCAAAGTCACTAGCCCAGTGATTTAAACACAGAAGGACATTCGCTGCAGTTTCTTCGCGCGAAGGAAAGGTTAAATTATACCAAATCCAAAACAGTGTTAATCATTATATATACTATTCAAAAAAAGGAGGGGATATTTGATTTTTAAGTGTTATTAAAGTCACCTAATGAAACTGACGAAGAAACAAATGACAAAATGAAATGAAGTTCACATTCATCGATTTATTCCAAATGATCGTTAGACTAAGTAAGGCACAGACTGACCATTATAAGGGTAAAATGATACCCGGGGTCAAACAGCAAAGTTACCACAGCATCACAACCAAGTCAGTAACGGGTAAATCCTCCTCTGTTTGCCAAACAAGCATTGATCCGACGTGGCATACTCCTAATGAGACGTCTAAGGTCATTTTGGTCCAGATTGTCCCATTCTTGTTGCAACGCAGCAGCAAGTTCTTGGACATTGGCAGGACGTTGTTGACGTTGACGTAACCTCTGTCCAAGCATGTCCCAGACATGCTCGATGGGGGAGAGGTCGGGACTCAGTGCTGGCCAAGGTAATGTGGTGATGTTCTGTTGTTGGAGGTAACCTGTAACGATTTTTGGCCCTGTGACATCTTGCGTTGTCATCCTGGAAGATGAAACGGCGGCCATGACGTCGTGCGAACGGCACAACATGGACTGCCAAGATGTTGTCCCGGTAGTACTGGCCTGTAACACGCCCTGCAACAACATGTAAAGCCGTTCTTCCAGCAACAGTGATGTCTCCCCACACCATAACAGAACCACCCCCAAATCGATCATGTCTGATGACGTTAACGTCTTGGAAGCGCTCGTTTCGACGACGCCACACCCTCCTACGTCTGTCCACAAAATCAACAGTGAACCTTGACTCATCTGAAAACATCACATTGCTCCAGCGTCGATTATCCCAGTGTTGACGATCCCTACACCAACGACGTCTTGCCTGAATGTGATGATCTCTCAAACAAGGGATCACGCGAGGACGTCGGGCGCGAAGGTGACCCCTATGCAGTCGATTCCGAATCGTCTGGCCACTCACTCTCACACCAGTGTCTGTTTGAAGACGAGCGCTGATCTGATTTGCTGTGATGACACGATTTCTCAAGGCCAAGTTACGGATAAATCGATCCTGGGCTTGAGTTGTCGCCCTTGGTCGACCTGAGCGTGGTCTGTCCTGTACAGATTGTGTATGACGGTATCTGGACCATAGCCTGCTTATGACAGACTGAGAAACATTCATCGTCCGCGCCACAACCGCCTGTGTTGTGCCGATCTGTAGCATGCCAAGGGCACGTAACCTTTCATTTTGGGTAAGCCGACGCATATCAAAATTTGTTTTCTGGTCACTAAAACAGTTAAACTGATGTTTCCACCCTGGAATTCAATGCCACAATGACTGTAACATTCAAAGTCAGAGTCGTGCAAATCTTGGGTTGGACCCCCATGATGATCTCAAGCATCACCTGCATTCCATGCGGTAGCTATTGGTGCGTTTGGGCGTCACATGTAACTGGAAATGTTTCTTCTGTTAGGTTCTATAGTGACTTTTTTCGTAGTCATTTGCATATTTTAGTATTATGCCCCCAAAATCAAATATCCCCCACTTTTTTTGAATAGTATACTAAAGTATTTACAAAAATAATGCACGCATTTTTAGATAAGGTTTTATAGACCCTTAGTCTCGGCCGGGCTTGAAAATGTTTGAAAGTTACAGCGTCTCTATCAGGGGCAGAATCCGATTCTAATTCTACGACCACGCCACTTATACGCACATTCAGAAAAGTCACCGGCTTTACGATCTTCTACAATGTATTTCTTTATATTAATTTATAACAACAAAAAAAACCCCCAAACATTACTTAGCAGACCTCCGGGCCCCTCTAGGCTCCGGGCTCCTGGACAAGTGTCCCAGCTGCCCCCCCCCTCCCCTCCTTTCACGGGTCCTGCATGGTATCAAATTAACCAGCATGATCCCGTGAATGTTGTAGGCCATGATTTATGAAGGCCAAGATTCTTTATTGATTTAACGCATGACCCCGTGAATGTTTTAGGCCATAATTTATGAAGATTAAGATTATTTATTAATTTAACACAGCCAAAATCAACGCTGGGCTTCGGCTGCAGTCGAGCGGTTTTACTGCAATAAAAGGTTAATGGGAGGTAAGTGCTTTCAGTTTTAGGTACTTCTTGATGACTATCCTATAGACGCCCATTTGTGGTGAATTCAATGGGTCGGTTTACAAGATGGTTTGGTATGAAGACAATAATAACACTACTGTTGCAGTCCTTTTGTCTATAATTCATTCAATTATTATACTTGTTGGTGGCAAAAGTTTGTTTCAACCCAATCGATCTCTCCTTATCTGGATTAGACCTTATTAGCCCGCTCATCCAAGAAAACTGAAATTTGCGATTCGGCCGATTGACGCAAAGTCATTAACATTAGAAATTTGGCTCTGCAGATTACCTCGGTTTTTTCGAAGATTCTCAACACAAAGTTTCGCTGTAAAAGAGCCCCCACCCCCGCCGTCGAACCTATTACATCCCAATAACTATCGTCCTGAAAAATAAAACAAATCTGGTGACAGTCTACAAGGGCTCAACTTTCACAGAAGTGTGTGTAATGTAGTCCTACTATACCGGCTGCAAAATGTGAAACGTATGGGGTGGAGTGGGGTGAGGTGAGGTGGGCGGGGAGTTTGCAGCGTTATGGCATACTTTCATTTCGAATTCCAAATGGCAAGGGCTATAAATACGTGCACATCAGCATGTACAGAAAATCTCGGGTTTTCGTCTCATCCGAACGACTATACGTTGTCCCTTGTCCAGCGGGTCTCCGTCCTACACAACTGGCAAGGGGGAACCGCCCGCCGCAAAATCCTGTTCAACATTCTCGGCCTGGACTTTCTAGGCGATCTATGATGTAGATTGTACTTATACAAATGCACTCATATTTTTGTGACATAAACAACAATATGCTTTATTCGTTTAGTTTAATCAACGGATTTGTGGTGCAAATGTTACAATTTAAAATTATCGTTCTTTATACCCTCAATTTACAGTAAAAGAATAAACCACGAACGGATGAATCGAATGCTGCTGGCAAACGGCTCACCATGATTGTAATCAATGTCTCGGGTTAACGCTGTACACTCACAGTATCTACGGGTGGGCATTTAAAGGTAAAACCGAAACTGAATTTGGTTCATAAATGAATATGAATGACGCAAAAATCCCTGATTTAGGATACAAATGATTCAATTTAAGAATTTATAAAACCTCTAAATTTGATTATTAAATAAAGTGCTATTAAAGTTTTTAATTGACAATGAAGGGGTTGTAATCCGTTGCAAAGTACAATATTGTGAAAGTTGAATGTCCTCAGGAATATCAGTCCAAAAATGGTACAATTCTATCAGTACTTACAAAGATATGATGAATTGTCCACTGCAGACGATAACAGTCAATGCAAGCATTAACTATATTTTTCTGAAATACTTCCCCAGTTAACATTGATGGTTAGATTTACGTAAAGTTTACGTCATTATGGTTAGATTTTGGTTAGCGTCCAATAATGGTAAAATTCTTTGGTTAAATTTACGTTACTTTTACGTCATAATGGTTATGGTTACTTTTACGTCAGAAAATGACGTAAATGTAACGTAAACTTTATGATGTATTACTAACCAACTTTTTTCGCTTTAAATACTTCTTGATTAAATAAAATTACAAGTGTGTGCACATTCTAACAATTGATAAATAGTTGGAATTCAGACATAATAATTATATATGTATTATTGGTTATAATTCTAACGTTATTCTAACGTAAATTTTACATCAGGTTTCTAACCGTTAGTTTATGGTTAGTTTTCTGACGTAAATCTAACGTTAGTTTTCTAACGTTAATATAACGTTAGTTTTCTAACGTTAATATAACGTTACTTTTATGTCATAATTTTAACCGTTAATTTAACGTTAGTTTTCTAACGTAAATCTAACGTTAGTTTTCTAACGTAAATCTAACGTTAATTTTATAACATAAATCTAATGTTAGTTTTCTAACATAAACCTGATATTAGTTGTATAAAGTAAAACAAATGTCAGTTTAATTTCATGATACTAACAATTAAATTACTGTCATTTTTTATCCTTAGTTTTCTTACGTAAACAAATGTCAGTTTAATAACATGAGCACCATTTGTAATGAAGCGACTCGATGAAGAAGGCTAACCATATCCCACAGGACAATACTGGTGTGGACTAGAATAAGCAGACGCCAAAGACTGTAATTCAATTTGGGCTTTTTGCATATTTTGTCGAACATAATTGATTAAAATATACAGTAAAACCAGATAAGACTGAACTTTATTCAGTTTATATACATTCATGTTATATTATTATATGCCTTGCTACCCATTTTTGTCCATTTCCAGGTGCCCAACAATAGAAATGAAATGGGGTTTAACGTCCTACTGTTCTGCTCCGAACTGGGCTAATGAAGACGGGCATGTGCCATACAGTGTCCTATGAGGGACATTTTGCCCGTACAGCGGCACTACGACCTACTCTTATATCGAATTCCAACTGTCAAGGGATCTTTTACGTGCACACTAATGTGTCAACAGGACCTCAGTTTTTCATCGGATCCGAACAACTAGACAGGTGTCCTTATCAGGCCCTACGTCACGCATCACTTTCTCGGCCAATGCAGGGATCGAACCTTTTAACTCCTTTAAGAATTTCAGCCTGTAAGCGACACATAAAGAGAAAAAGGAATGAATGAATGACCTACTCTCATTTCGAATTCCAGCTGTCAAGGTTTCGTTTACATGCACATGCAACATGAGCACAAGATCTTGATTTTTTGTCCTATTTGAAGGACTAGACACTGTCCTACATTACAAACAAGGGGAAAATTCTATACCAGGATCGGACCCCTCGTTAGTTAGCCAGTGTGTTAACTTGAAAGTTAACCATTAGCCATTCAACCACGCCAGTGTGCTACAAGGGAGTTTTATCCGGACAGCTGTGCTAAGGCCTACTCATATATTGAGTTCCAACTGTGCCGATGTGTACATGGGACCTCAGTTTTTCGTCCCATCCGAAAGACTAGAAACCTGTGCAGTGCACAAACACATTCTCCTTATTATTCCTGTCTGTGACTACAGTAACTTGATATTGTACACATTGGAGTGCACGTAAACGATCCCTTGGTAGTTGGAATTCGATATAAGAGTATTCTGTTGTGCCGCTGCCCGGGCAAAATTTCCCTCATAGCACACTGTATGGTGTAGGCCCATCTTCATTAGCCCGGATTAGGAGCAGAACAGTAGGATGTTAAACCCCATTTCATTTCATTTTGTGTACATGGGACCTCAGATTTTCGTCCCATCCGAACGACTAGACAGCTGTCCTTGTCAGGCCCTCTGTCCTGCAACACTGCCAAGCAGAAACCACATCGGAAAATCCTGATGAACACTAGCCAGTCAGTGGCTCCGGGGTCATAAATGTAGTGCCACAAAAAAAAAATTTGCAGTTCACAAACACATTCTCCTTACTATTTGAGTCTGTGACTACAGCAACTTGAAAGTAGTCCAATTAATAGCCTTTTTTATGTGGTTTTGCAATCGAAATCAAACCTGAGAGGGAAAACAAATAATGATAATACATGAAAAAGTGTGGCACCATCCAAAGGGAGAGTGAGAATGAAATGGGGTTTAACATTCACTCGACACAAACTAGGTTATTTCAGGACTAACCGTAGGGGTCTTTAGCAGTGGGAGGAAACCGGAGCACCCAGAGAAAATCCACGGGGTTGGACAGACGTCCCTACTCCTTGTCATATTCAACCCGGGAATGGAACCCATGCCAGTTGACTCAATGACATACCTTATGATACAACACGCATGCGCTAAATCGATGGACACACTAGCCGAATCGTTCGGCTGAATGGGTGGACACACTAGCTGAATGCTTCGCCCGATTCAACCTGTCGGTTGCATCACCTTTCACGTCACATGATTAAACATGGCGGCGTCTGTGTCTTTAATCTATCATGTGACTTCTCGATATGAGTGGTGATTGGCTAATGAATTCTATATTCGGCCGAATGCTTCGGCGAAGCGAACACACCAGGCGAATATAATTGATTCGGGCGAATTATTCGGCCGAATGACAGTGGACACCGAATCATTCGGCTAGTGTGTCCACCGCCTAACCATTTGTCCATCCGACCCTCCGCCAGTGCGTTACCAGGGAGTTTTGTCTGGACAGGAGTGCTAAGGCCTACTCTTATATTGAATTCCAACTGCAAGGGGATCTTTAAGTGCATGCCAATGTGTACATGGGACCTCAGAGAGAATGAAATGGCATTTATCATCAACTCGACACAAACTAGGTCATTTCTGGACTAACATATATAGTTTAATTTTATTTCAATAATTCGCGTGCCCGTAGGGGTCTTTAGCAGTGGGAGGAAACTGGAGGACCCAGAGAAACCCATGAAGTTTGACAGGCGACCTTACTCCTTGTCATGTACAACCAGGAAATCGAAACCACGCCAGTTGACTCAATCATACCTTATGATACAACGCGCACACGCTAACCATTTGGCCATCCAACCTCGCGCCAGTGTGCTACAAGGGAGTTTTGTTTGGACAGCAGTGCTCAGGCCTACTCTTATATTGAATTCCAACTGCCAGGGGATCTTTTATGTACATGCCAATGTGTACATAAGACCTCAGTTTTTCGTCCCATCCAAACGACTAGACAGCTGTCCTTGTCAAGCCCTCCGTCCTGCACCACTGACAAGCGGAAACCACGTCGGAAAATTCTGATGAGCTTTCTCAGGCAACACTGTGAGCGAACCTGTGACCTCCAAGCAAGCCAGCCAGTGTCTTATTCACTTAGCCACTGTGGCAAAGGGGTCATAAATATAATTCCACAAAAAAACCTGTGCAGTTCACAAACACATTCTCCTTACTATTCGAGTCTCTGTGACTACAACAACTACTCGAAAGTAGTGCGAACTGTAAATTTTATTTTGTTAAACCATCGTAAGAAAAGAAACATATTGAATATGCTTGTCAATATTCTTTCTCTGTCAGAGCAGCTAAAAGGTGAAATTGTCTTCCAAAAACTCTTTGTGAGTCCTCTTCCATCCAAAACTTAAAAAAAAATTATTTCAAAAATGGTGTTGAGAGAGAGAGAGAGAAATGGGGTTTAACAAGAGAGAGAGAGAGAGAGAGAGAAATGGGGTTTAACGTCCACTTGACACAAACTAGGTCATTCGGGACTAACATATAGTTTAATTTTATTTCAATAATTTGCTTGCGCGTAGGGGTCTTTGGCAGTGGGAGGACCCGGAGAAAACCCATGAGGTTGGACAGGCGACCCTACTCCTTGTCACGTATAACCGGGGATTCGAAACCACGCCAGTTGACTAAATGACAGGTCGTCACCATTCGGCCATCCAACCCCCCAAAAATGGTGTTGAAATGGGTGTTTTTGTGAATGCGCTTAGAAATACTCATGTGTAATGAAGTGCTATAATTGAACCATAATAATAATATAGTAGGCCTAGTGGACTCCTCCGTCTCATTTTGGTTGAATGTTTGGAAATTTGATGGCTAATTAGATTTAGGACACTCTGGCATATTTTCTAGGCTTGGCTTCATGTGGCCTGTTTTCCATGCATACAAGAATTAACCAATTAGAAGTTAAACAAAATAAAATCTGCTCCAAAATATTACAATACTTTTTTTTATTTCATTGCCCAAAACACCTTTACAGCCTGAATGTTAATTTTGGGGCAGCGTTTAACTGCATGGGTGGTAATTGAATTTATTAAATTGACTAACTTTTGCACAATAAGTAAATATAAATTATCTTAATACCCCAACTCAGACAAGTTAGTGGCCTTTCAAACCAATTTAAATTCGGTCAAAATTTGTAGAAATTTAGATATTATTTTATTGCATGTGTGTACAATTTGTTATGTGTCTAAGCTCTGTTACCACAAAAAATATATTTAATTTAGTCCTTATAGTAGATTCTATCACACGTTTGAAAGTTGTCCAACGGTCGAATAAATATGTTGTAGTTTGACCTAGATAAATATAAGACTGGGAAAATAAATATAAAAAAAATTCCGACATCTTAAAAGTAGATACCTATATTCGCAATGGAAATATTATTTTAAAAATCGGGATTATTTAATTTGATACAACTGAATAAAATGGCTCTAGTCGATCTATTTAAAAAAACATCAACCAAATATACGAGTTGGGCAACTGCCAGTGCAGTACTGCATCCGTCGTGATCCGAATAAAGCTGTACGTATGTATATTATATCATGTGCATGCTTAAAAAAAGGCCTCTGAATCATATAATAATTTCTTCAATTTTACTATTCATAAGCCTAAAATATTACGTAGTTATAGACTATATATAAAATATTGAAGTGCGTAGGCCTACAGTTGATAGTCGCATAGACTCCGTTATCTACGTATATGATATATGCCGCCATTTTGGGTCAAGGTCAAGATAAATTACAGTCAATACAAATGAAGAACTACATCGATAGATTATTAAATGTAATTTCTATTAACTGATTTCAATGTTAGGTGGTCTATGTTTGTTGTCTTTTTCAGTATATTGTCCACATTGATTAAACTATCATTATTAAAATCATTTTGATTCTTCTATATTTGTACGTACTTTTTTACAACTCTGAACCCGGAAGCGAGGTATTCTGGGAAGGGTATTTTAAAGATGGCGGGCGTTTTGGAATTTATTCGTGGAGTGCATGAGAAATGTTCAATATACAGCTACTTGGATTACACAAACAGAGAAAGATAGATTATACCAGTTAAATTGAGAGGTTTTATTTGAAAGTAAGTTTTTTCTTATATCCCCGACTGCTGATATACACGTATACTGAGACTACAAATTCAGCGATATGAAAAGAACTTACAATACAATGTAATAGTAGTAAAAATACTAATAAATACTATTCACACAGATGTAAAATTATTTCTGTCCTTATTTTTCTAATTTTTCACCGTAATTCTTACTTCTGTAAGACGCCAGGTTACGAAACAGTTTGCTTTTGTGAAAAAAAAAAATTACTATCAGGTTATTACTGTACACATTTTCATTTTTACTTAATTAATAATTACTTAGACCTTTTGGACTAAAAAAAAATATGTCCTCACTACTCAACGCTGCAGGCTTTGGCACATGACATTTTTACTTTCATAGCATTGGCAACACTTTAATCTCAATCTTCTCTGATTCTAAATAGCAGAAATATAGCAAATTCTTCTGTAACACTGTAATCAACCAGAACGTAATTCCAAACTTGACGTCTCCCCCTTGGACCCCGACTGCTATTGCTTTTCATCAAAAATCTACCTGCTGTGCATAACTAAAGTTGACTTTTGAGCGCACGACAGAGAGTCTGGAGAGGGCCAACGCCAGTCTCTGCAGGCTGGGGCCAATGTACAGTCTTTCGAATGGGACAAAAAACCAAGGTATTTTGTACACATTGAATGATAATTTAAACCTAATTTCATTTTGATTTTGGAGTATAAAAGTTGCTTTAATTGAATTTTTTTTTGTTTTTTTTTTTACAGACCCTATATTTGAGCACCATTCATGGCAGTCATGTCGAGGAAGTTATAAAAAGGCTGATAAGGGCTTTGTATATGGAAGCTAGATGACATTACTACTTATCATACACAACTATTTGTCACATACCGACTTGGGATTGAAACCAAGCGACTGAACTCAATAACACTCCTCAATAACACTCGTCTATGAAACCACCCAGATGGCAAAGAAATAAAGACTTTTTAATTATGTAACGAACTCATATATGTATCTATGGTAGCACAAAATTCACCAGAATGTAGGCCAAAGCTTTACTTTACAAGCAGTAGGCTTAAAATATTTTCCGTCTGATCTTGTAAGAGTCAATTGTTTATGAATAGTTTGCCTCAAGCAGATATCCTGTCACTGTGTCACAGTATCATATAACCGCTCTTTGGCTTGAACTGAGTTGTATCAGTGAGTTGAAAATCTACTGCAGCCAGTATATTAGATTCAAAATTCTAACGAGCTTTCGTCTAACTTCTAACTTCTGTTCATGTATTTTTTAACTTCTATTCATGTAATTTCTAACTTCTATTCATGTATTTTGTTAAATTAAGACAATGTATAATCCAACTTCTTTATTTGTTCAGTGTAAATTTTAATTCTATTCCATCTTATTTCTATTATTTAGACGAAAAACGTCTTCTTAATTTTTACACTTCTGCCTAGCAACCATCATTATGAAGTCATTTTTGGTGATTGCGCACCTGGTCGGGACCATTGTGTTGATATAAACGACACATTCTTGATAAAGACGAGAGTGTCCTCGTCGAAACGTTGCTTTATATTAAACTCAGTAAGAGTTATCTATAAAATTGTACCCTGTGTTAATGTAGACCAACAGTATATAAATATTAATTGGCTCAATTTGTCTTAAAAAAAATGAACAAATGCTGTTTAGCTTGTATTTGAAATAGAAAATGAAATATAATGGGGTTTAACATCCTACTATTCTACTCCGAACTTGGCTAATACGCCATACAGTGTGCTACGAAGGAAACTTTGCCCGGACAGCGGCACTACGGAACGATTAGACAGCTGTACTTGTTAGGCCCTCCATCCTGCATCACTGACAAGGAGGAACCATGCCGGAAAATCTGGATGAACTTTCTTGACCAATGCAGGGATCGAACACCCTACCGCTAGGCTAGTGAGCCAGCGTCTTACCGACCGTATTTGAAATCGTATTTGCAAACCATACATAGATATCACGTTCAATGTTGTTTGTGGGGTTGGACGGCCGAAAGGTTAGCACGTGCGCGCTGTACCATAAGGTATGTCATTGAGTCAACTGGTGTGGTTTCGATTCCCCGGTTGTACGTGACAAGGAATAGGGTCGCCTTTCCAACCTAGTGGGTTTTCTCCGGGTCCTTCGGTTTCCTCCCATTGCTAAACACCCCTACGCGCAAGCGAATTATTGAAATAAAATTGAACCATGTTAATACCGAACCTACATGTAGTTTGTGTTGAGTGGACGTTTAACCCCATCAGACTCTCTCTCTCTCGCTCTCTCTCTCGAAGTTGTTTTCAATTTTAGCACTCCACCAAACCATTCAACTGGACTAAGAGCGAGTCATTTGTATCAACAGAATGGTCCCGATCAGGTGCTCAATCGCCAAATTGAGCGAACGGTGGCGACACCAAACGACGTCATAATGATGGTTGCTAGGTAGAAATCAAAATTCTAAATTTGTTTACCATTCATGCTTAACATGTAAAGTGACTAGACATTTTTCGCCTTAATAATAGAAATAAGATGAAACAATTAAAATTTACACTGAACAAAAAAAGAAGTTGAATTATACATTGTCTTAATTTAGAAATTACATGAATGGAAGTTAGAAATTACAAGAGTAGAAGTAAGAAATTAGACGATAGCATGTTAGAATTTTGAATCTAATATACCGCCATAGTATACGGGGAAACTTTTTAAACCCTTACAAATTCTTCAAATTTTTGTGATAGATCAATAATAGCAAAAATCTGTGTTAAAATTATATTTGTAATGTGTTTAACAAATTCTATCACACATGTAATATTGGTGTAATTTAGTATATACCTTATTTCAATACTGGGGTATTATATCGTTGCCCTGACTGTTTGTTTGTCCAAATTAGTTTGTGATTGTGAAGGTGACAGTTTTTTATACGCTAACATTTTCATGTAGACGTATATTTTTGTAGCCCCTGTCCGTCCGAACGTCCATCGGTCCGTCCACAATTGTTTGTGGGACCGTAACTTCATGGATTATGGCCCCTGATTGTACTGAAAGTCATGTTTTTAGCTTGTGGACCCTATAGAGGTCAAAATTTTTATATGCCCACATTTTCATGTGGACGTATATTGTGGTAGCCCCGGTCCGTCCGGACGTCTGTACACAATTGTTTGTGGACACTCTACAGGTCACAATTCTTATCCGATTTTGACGAAACTTGAAATATAGGTTTATCTCCAAAAGATCTTGGTTGCTTTCGATATTGGCATGTATCTGACCGTAACTTCTTGGATTATGGTCCCTGATTGTACGAAAAATCAAGTTTTTAGCTTGTGGACCCTATAGAGGTCACAATTTTTATACGCCCACATTTTCATGTGGACGTATATTGTCGTAGCCCTTGTCCGTCTGGACGTCCATCCGTTTTTAGCTTGTGGTCCCTATAGAGGTCACAATTTTTATACGCCCACATTTTCATGTGGACGTATATTGTCGTAGCCCCTGTCCGTCCAGACGTCCATCCGTTTTTAGCTTGTGGTCCCTGTAGAGGTCACAATTTTTATTCGATTTATAAAAAAAAAAACAATGGGAATATATAACCATTACACACTAAGATCTTGGTTCCTTTTCATAATCGCGCATATCCGAACGTAACTTCCTCGATTATGGCTCCTGATTGTTCGAAAAATCGCATAATCAAGGTTGAATTCGAATTAAGGGAAAATCAAAATGAAACTGCCTGACAAAATGTGTAAAAGTATGCAATATGAAGGCATTGGATACTCAAGATTTTAACTGGCCTGCAATTTAAAAATTTAATTAAAAAATGGGAAAGTGAGGCCAAGTCTCGAATATACCTGTGCCCTCATTACCACAATGCACACATCATGTCGAAACTAGAAACTGTGATAACTTGGCTCAGAATGAAGTAATTTGAATGAAATTTTCATTTTACATGTATATTATTTATTTTTGAACAATCATAGCAAGAATGGTCAGCTCTTTATCTAAATCTGGGCTAATGAAGACGAGCATATGCCATACAGTGTACTATGAGGGAAATTTTGCCTGGGCAGCGGGGCTACGGCCTACTCTTATATCGAATTCCAACTGCCAAGGGATCTTTTACGTGCATGCCAATGTCTACACGGGACCTCGGTTTTTCGTCCCATAACGACTAGACAGCTGTCCGTCTGTCAGTTCCTCCGTCCTGCATCACTGACAAGGGAAACCACGCTGGAAAATCAGGATGAACTTTCTCGGCCAATACAGGGATCGAACACCCGATCTCCAGGCTAGCGAGCCAGCGTCTTACCCACTTAGCCACTTGATCCCCCCCCTTTGGTGAAAGAGAGAGAGAGAGAAATGGGGTTTACCGTCCACTCGACACAAACTAGGTCATTTCGGGACTAACATATGGTTTAATTTTTTATTTACATAATTCGCTTGCGCGTAGGGGTCTTTAGCAGTGGGAGGAAACCAAAGGACCCGGAGAAAACCCACAAGGTTGGACAGGCGACCCTACTCCTTGCCACGTACAACCGGGGTTTCGAAACCACGCCATTCGACTCAATGACAGACTCAACCACGCTAACCATTCAGCCATCCACCCATCCCCCCCCCCCTTTGTTGAAAGAAAACAGAGCTGTGGCTAGTGAAATGAAAGTTTAACGTCCTACTGTTTTGCTCTGAACTGGGCTAATGAAGATGGGCATACGCCATACAGTGTGCTATGTGGGAAATTTTGCCCGGACAGTGGCACTACGGCCTTCTCTTATATCGAATTCTAACTTCAAGGGCTCTTGTACGTGCACGCCAATGTGTACATGGGACCTCATTTTTTTGTCCCATTTTAATGACTAGACAGCTGTCTTGTCTAGCCCTCTGTCCTGCATCACTGACAAGGGAGAACCACGCCCGAAAATCTGGAGTAACTTTCTCGGCCAATGCAGGGATCGAACACCCGACCTCCAGACTAGATAGCCAGTGTCTTACCGACTCAACCAACGTGATCCCCGTTGTGGCTACAATTCCTGGATTTGAAGGTCAGGTATGATATGAAACGAATATTTTGAACCGGTTCACCAATGCAACCAATCCGTGACGGGTTAACTGATAGAGGGTTACATCCTTGATATATATAAAGGTAGCTCAAAATTCATCTCTACATGTACAGAGGCCAAGGGGGGATCATGTGGCTAAGTGGGTAAGACGCTGACTCGCTAGCCTTGAGGTCGGGTGTTCGATCCCTGCATTGGCCGAGAAAGTTCATCCTGATTTTCCGGTGTGGTTTCCCATTGTCAGTGATGCAGGACGGAGGGCCTGACGAAGACAGCTGTCTAGTCGTTTGGATGGGACAAAAAAAAACAAGGTCCAGTGTACACATTGGCGTGCACATAAAAGATCCCCTGGCAGTTGGAATTCGATACAAGAGTAGGCCATAGCGCTGCTGCCCGGGCAAAATTATCTCATAGCACACTGTATGGCGTAACCTTTTGCGTCTCTTCAAAATATTTCAAATCTTTTGTCATGGATCAACCATTGCAAATATCCGTGTTACAATTATATTTGAAATGTGTTAAACCAATTCTGCAACACATGTAATATTGGTGTAGTATATATCTTTGTTTATACACCCACATATCAATTTTGGCCCTGTTTGTCCGTACACTGGGTGTGAAATGTGAATCATTCCGATTGTGAGAGGACAAGCATTATCAATATACAGCTTTTCAGGACTTTGCTTTCCTTGGTTAATTCTCCCTAGTCTAGTCGTTTGGATGGTACGAATGATCGAGGTCCTGTGCACACATTGGTGTGCACGTGAAAGATCCCTTGGCAGTTTGAATTCGATATAAGAGTAGGCTTTAGCGCCGCTGTCTGGATAAAATTCCATAATAGGACACTGTATAGCATATTTCCATGTCATTAGCCCTGTCGGAATAGGACATTAAACCCATTTCATTTCACTCATTCCAAAGTTAACTTCTATTCCATCAATACCTTGAGCAAATAAGATAGAGGCTATAGGTTTTGGCCCAATTTGGTCAATATCCCAGTTTTTTCTTTCTTATATGCATATCAACACTTTCATAGCGCTAATGTAGACCTTTTTCTTGAACATTTTCCCGTGTCAGTGATGCCGGACAGAGGACCTGACATGGATGGCTGACTAGTCATACGGAAGGGACAAAAAAAACAAGGTACAGTGTAAACTCAAGTGTGTGTGTGTGTGAAAGATCCCTTGGCAGTTGGAATTTTATATAAGAGTACGCCATAGCTCTGCACACTGTGTGGCATATGCCCGTCTTCATTTCTCAAACAGCTGTGGATAAAAACTGTTAATATTTAAATGTGTATTTTGTATTTTATAACATTATATTTTTGTCTTTTAAATAAAGTATATGTATACATACTTGTAGTATATTTTGTCATATAATTCTGCTAGATTTTTAACTTTTCTGTGCAATACATTTAGAATTCTGACTGGTTATGGGTAGATAGAGAGCAATGGGGTAAAACATCCAATAGACATAAACTGTCCTTTGGGACTAAGTGATTCAATTCAAGTTGAATAATTCATCCGCACCAGGAATCTTTAGTAGTAGGAGGACCCAGAGAAAACCCATGTTCAAGTTGGGTGTGGAAACAAACCACTTGACTCAATGACAGACCTTATGATCTAAAGCGCACACGTTGGACCACTCAACTTTTAGCCTCACCCACGGGTCAGGAAAATTTGATTATTGGTTGAATGTACTTCCCATTTACTGCCGCAAATAATGAATAATTTTGAAGGTTTTAATGCTCATCAAAATTTGACTTTAGAATTGCATCCGTAAATGATGTTAATTTAATGTTAGATTTACGGTATAATGATCGGTTAGATATCCATCATTTTGCTCATCCTTTTAACGACAATTTAACGTCAGGAAATGACGTTAATCTAGCGTAAAGTTTACGTCATTTTTACGTTATATTTACATCATTTTCTGACGTAAATCTAACGTAAAGTTTACGTCATTTTCTGACGTAAATCTAACGAAAATGACGTAAACTTTACGCAAATTTTACGTTAGATTTACGTCAGAAAATGACGTAAAGTTTACGTTAGATTTACGTCAGAAAATGACGTAAATATAACGTAAAAATGACGTAAAGTTTACGTTAGATTAACGTCATTTCCTGACGTAAAATTATCGTTAAAAAGATGAGCAAAATGATGGTAAACTGACTGACCATTTTTACGTAAATGTAACGTAAAATTAACATCATATTGTTATGTGATCGATCGGTCTCTTTTCAATCGGATTGATAAGAATACATTTTAGATTTGATACTTTAAGTTGTTGACACGCATGAAATGCAATACACATTAGTTACCCAAGAAGCTGCACAGAAGATCGTTAATATATTTTGGGAGATTTTTTTTTCTTTGCATTTCCGATTGCATTAGACTGTCTGAAAATTTGAATTTTTCATCCACCTAAAAATTCGAGGTGAATGAATTAAGATAAACAAAATTTGAATAAAGCATCTTTTGAAAATACGGGTTGTATCCATGTCTGTATAAATGACTAACGATTTTCACAAAATCAACACTCAGAAATTATACGGGATTGGACTACATAAATATGCACCCCCTGACAGCATGAATATCAATCAATGCGTGGGAGTTTGCGAACCGGCTATGACCTTGCCGAAGACTCCCGATGTACAAATCGGTATTCACCGGCTACAACCATCGCGCACGATTACCATACATTATCGTCCACTTGTTGTTAATTACTGACTTACATCCTGCTGTATTAATAAATTGTCAGTTTAATAATATTCAATAGCTTTTAGTAAAAAAAATCTATCATCCTTGGCTGTTAAGTAAAAAGTTCTTAGAAAGATCTCAAATCATTTCATTAACCTAACTACCGGAAGGGTCGGTCAATGAATGCATCTGTTAGCCGAATGGTAGCGAATGTGTGTGAGGTGGGGAATGTAGATCTGCAACCATAAATGAATATCAGCCATATTGCAAAATGGATGACTAAACAAGCTGAAATACTCATGTAAAATCTGATATGTTTGACCAACTGCGCTTTCATGAGATAAGACACCCTCATAAACCTATCGAAATTTCGCTCTAAGTTATCCACGGAGGTCTAATAATCTTACAAAATGTCTGACGAACTAACAATCGAAGAACTTCGGTTGGAAGTGGAAAATTTAAGATCTGAGTTGAGGGAAACTACAGTTGAAAAAGTGCAAGCTGCTGAATATGGATTACAGGTAAGTGTGGCTTGTGTACAACAGACTATATTAAATGTGAATGAGATGCGATTTAATCTAATATCTCTGTACGGTATTTATACTGTAATGTAGACTTAATATTTTATATGGTACTGAACTAGGCTAGGCTATACTTTTCATTCATTCACCTGCATAGACTCATAGACTAGAGATAGACTGAATAATCCAACTTTTGAGTCTTTTATACCTCCGTACTAGCCTAGGTCTAAACATTTATTTATCTTGCGACTTTGATATGTAAGCTTAATCGCCATTGGGCATTAGTATTGATGACTTTGTCTTTCTCTGGTGGTACGCAGAGGCTCTATCACTGATCACATCAGATTCAGAGACTGGATTATTAAGTCTACGGTATTGTGCTCAATCTGATCATGTCAACATTGGCAGTCGTAATCCAATGGAAACATTTTTTTTTTTCTTCATATGTTCAGTTTTGTAGTACTTGTGGGCCTACTAGTACTAATTACAGAGTTTAGTAGGTGGCCTTTGTCATACTCATAGGTCTATAGAAATTCTAGAAAGGATTGGCCATTCTTCTATTGTGGATCGTAGAGGTATTCACTTTAAGAAAATATAACTGTATAAATGACGTAGGCAAAACCAACTGAAAGTGTTTAAGGGTTTGGCAAGGCAAAGTGTCTACTCATTCATACAGAGTGAAAAAATAAAATGCAGTCCACCCATGTACTCAGCTCATTGGTGTGCATGTTGAAGAAACCTCCACTGTTGGAATTCCGTCCTGCTCAATAATCTGGAGGTGTTTGGCTCGATCCTGGTGTTAGGCCTACCTGGGAAAGTTCCTTGTGGTTTTTGAGCGTGGTTTCCATTTGTTAGTGATGCAGGATGGAGAGCCTGGCAGTGGCATAGAACAGTGCATTCCCATCTTCATTAGCCCAGATTTAGCAGGGAAAGTTGGATCCCATTGCATTTCTTTAATGTATCTTGAGTCATAAATAACTACTGTACTTTGATAGACACTGTTATTAAGTAAAATTAGATAACTTCATGTGTTTAGAGGTTGCTGAGCATGTTAGGAGACTTATAGACAACAAGTTTTAGTATAAAGGCCAAAAGGAACTCTTTGTGGTTCAGGTTATACAAGTCAATTAACAGAACACACCCTTAATTTTTCTCAAATAACCATACGTGTAGTTTACATGTACATTAAAATGCATACCCTAGTTACATCCACATTACTGGTACAATAAATTAACAAAGGGGCATTTATATTTCTCAAATTAATTATATTGTCCATATTTACAGTGTGCATCAACATACAGTCAATGGATATTTAATAAAAAAGTAATAAAAAAAGTTTTAGAACAAGTATAACTTGAATGTAGAAGAAGTACATGTATAATGAATTCATTTCTAGGTCAATTATGTTGACAATTTCACTCTGAAATTCATTCACAATTCTGTATTTTGGGTTATATAAATTTTGAATTGTAATATCAAATTTGCAACATAATGACAAAACAATAGCCAAGGCAATATGAAGTTTAATACAATACATAGTATCATCGTATGTATATTGTTTGGTACATTTAAGCTTATAATATACATGCATGGACAGTTTAAATGAAAAATGAAATGAAGCTTGTTACTACTGTTACTAAATTTGAGGAAAGGAATGCATTTTTGTGTGAAACCAGTTCGAAATGGGTCTATTAGTATTACTAAAAACAGGATACATTTAGAAAAATAAATTAAAATATTTTAATAAAATTCAAACTACTTGGCTGTTATCATTTACAGACATATCAATGCTTATATTTTACTCTTTTGTAAGTTTACATCTAAAAATGTTTGTTGGTCTAGATTATTGGTCAGATTTTATTTTCGTGGGGTAAGATTGGATAGAACTAAAAGAACTAATACATCAATATTTTAATAACATACATGTACATCGATGCTTGCATTACCCGTATATAGTTTTTGTTGTTGCATTGTAAAGTGTTTATTTCCAAATATTTATAGCTTAATTACTGAGCAAGTTTCTGGAAATATGATTTAGACCATTGTCAATACCAGAATTTCAGTGCTGGAATCTGTCTGCGGAAATCCAAGCCAAGACTGATTTATAGGATCTGTCCTGGGAAATGAGAAAAAAAAGTTGAAAAAATTGGCAAAATTGTCTCCCAAAAATAGGGTTGGTCTGGTAATGGTAGGCCCAACAACAACAGTGACTTCAAAACATCTTTTCTAAAAATAAATAATCTGAATAACTATTTCAGGTTTTGGAAGAAAAACAGCAACTGGAACAACAGTTTGAAGATCTGGAAAATCAGTTTGATAAAATGAAACATCAGCTTGATTACGCTGAAAAGGTTTGTATTTATATACATTTGAATAATACATGTAGTAATTGGTTGTTGTGTCTGAAATTATACTCAGATAGAAATCGACTCATATGGTCAGCAGAGCTACAATGTACAAACATTGATCAAGTTGCACAAGTTCACTCAATGCGTATTTCTACAAATGGAATGTATTGATCTCAGATTATTATACTATGATGTAGATACACTTGTGTATGTATTATTTATGAATCATCAAGGTAAAGTCACAGTAGCCAGGCTTTCTTCATATTGTTTTATCGTACTATTTAGAGAGCAATACATTGCATTGTTAATGATTTTAGAGGTTTTGTTGTGTCATTTGGAAGTCTGAGTACACTATTTCAGACATCTCTCTTTTATGGAGTTATTTCCCTTGCATCCATAGTTAACGGTAACCATACTTGTATGGTCCAGTATACACATTGGTATGCAAATAAAAGATCCCTTGGCGGTAGGAATTTGATATAAGAGTAGGCTGTCTGGTAAAATTACCCTCATAGCACACTGTACATGGCGTACATGTATGCCCGTCTTCATCAGCCAAGTCGGAACAGAACAGTAGGACGTAAGCCCCATTTCATTTTATTTTCATTAGCCCAGTCGAAGCAGTACAGTAGGACATTAAACCCCTTTTTATTTGTTCATAGTTGTTTTGATTTGTTGTTAGAGCCCAACTCACAACACGGTCTCCATAACCTAAAGTTCTGTTAGTTAGTGGATAAAGATAAATACCAAATTTGCTATTAACACCGTTTTAAAACCACATCATAAATATTGCTACCATTGATTAATGTTGTATTTTTCAGGCATTGAGTAAGCACCAGATAACTTTTAAAAAGCACCATGAAAGTGGAATACATGATGAAGAGGAATTTTTACAAGAAACAGCTACTCGAGAAGAAGGATTGCGATCAAACATAACAGACCTGGAAGTAGAATTAAGAACTCTGCACCAAAGCTTTGAACAAACCAAATCAGAAAATGAACGCTACAGAACCCTTAATTCTGAGTTACAACTACAGAACGAAAACTTGGAAACTATCAAACAACAATTAAGGCATGAAATAAGAGAATATAAAATCCGTGAAAACAGAAATCTCTCTGACTATGCAGAACTAGAAGATGAAAATATTAGTCTTCAGAAACAGGTATCGTTATTGAAACAAGCCCAAGTGGAGTTCGAAGCCATGAAACATGAAAATAAACGACTTCAAGAATGCACTGAAGACCTAAATAGTCAAATAAGTGAGTTGGGGAACTTAAAGAAAATTATTGAACAAAATTTGGAAGAAGCTTTAAATTCCCTTCAAGCGGAACGTGATCAGAAACACAGTCTCAAAAAGGAGTTAGATCTGCGATTAGCTCAAGAATCCATGTTCAACATTAGCAATTTGGCTCATTTCGGTGGACTCTCTGATGGTCTTAAGTTCAATATTAATTCAGATAATATTGACACAGGTGCAGATGAGGACCTTGAAACTCAGGATCATCCAGCTTTAAAACAGATTGAGGCTGATTTCTCAAAACATGACAATATTTCGAAACCTAGGGCCGGTGTTGTTAATGATATTTTAAGTGAAATTCAGGTTACTGAGGTGCAAAAATTAGAAAAACTTATAGAACAAATTGAAAATGAAAAATTCAAGCTTCAAGCATCAGTGAGTGAAGCGCAAAAACGTTATGATGAAGCTCAAAAGGCATATCTTAAGGAAAAGGATAGATCCGAAAAAATGAAGAGTCTAATAAGCTCATTAGGAAACCTAGATCTCTCAGACATTGTTAATCTATTTTCCATTGAGAACTTAACAGTTGAAATTGATAAAGAGGAGGATCCAGAGAAAAAGGCCATTCTTCAAATGAAGAAAAATATTTTGCATAATGAATTGAAATATTCCAAAGAATTAAAAGGTTTAGAAGCTGAGTTGGAAGATTTACGTAATTTGGCACCAAGCGGTATCCATGAAGAAGTCAGTAAAAAATCCTTACAACAGCATGCTGACAAGATTAAAGAATTGGAGAAGACAATTAAATTTTCAGTTTCGGAAGGCGAGTTAGATCAGCATAATCTCAATGCAACACAAGATGAACTTATAAACACCTCAGATAACTTAGCTCTGTTGTATCATCTGATTTGTGAAATGAGTGGGTCTACTCCAAGTCGTGTTGTTCTTGATCACGCTAAAGCTGCTGCAGCTCTATCTAAGGTAAATGGTGAAAGCCAGTCAGATGCAACTAAGACTACTTCAGAAGAGAATGGACCTGTATCTGATACTGGAGAAGATTCTCAAGATAAACGAGAAGATCCAACCTCCTGCTACATTCTTTCACAGACTATTAATGACCAGGTTAAATATCTTAGAGAAGCTGTTGATCATCTGTTAGATGTTACACGCCAAAATGTTGATGATGGTGAAAACGCAGATTTGAAGGAAGTTCAGGAACAGGTCGTAAAGTTGAAGGCTATGTTATCAACAAAACGAGAACAGATTGCAACATTACGTAGTGTTCTCAAGGCCAATAAATCTACCGCTGAGGTTGCGTTAGCCAATCTTAAGCAGAAGTATGAAAATGAGAAAGTCATTGTAACAGAAACGATGATGAAATTAAGAAATGAATTGAAGGCTTTGAAAGAAGATGCAGCCACGTTTGCATCGTTGAGGGCAATGTTTGCTCAACGCTGTGATGAATATGTTACTCAGTTAGATGAACAGCAGAGGCAGTTAACAGCTGCCGAAGAAGAAAAGAAAACTCTGAACTCGTTACTGCGAATGGCGATACAGCAAAAATTAGTGCTGACTCAACGTTTGGAGGATCTCGAGTTCGACCGTGAAAGGCGTAACATTAGACGTGTTCCTAGACCCAAAAACAATCAGGCCAAAACAAACTATCCTTCATTTGAGGATCAAGGTCAAACGCGGAGGTCATATCAAAAGCGTGATTATTAGGATGTGATTTGTGTTGAGTGGTTTTGTATACATGTAGAAAGGAATGGTATAATACATGTATGGTTATAAGTCTATGGATCCACAGTGAGATGTGCACTGTGTATAAACTTAATAAATGCAAACTATAAATGTTTTAGATAACAATATTTTTAAAGCATGAATGGCTAGTGTATGCTTTCGGTATACTTGTATTATCTCAGAGAAGATTATTTTATAAAAATAAACAGGATTATACAGGTATACATTTTAATCCATTCTACTCTAGTCAGATGGTTAGAATGGAATTTGTACAAAAATAGGATATTAATTAAGGTATGGTCTTAAACCAAAAAAATATCTAGGATGATATAAAGGGCTCTTTGTACTAAGTGTTTTGATTATTTTTGTATAAAATTATTATAAAGCAATTATGTATATTTCCAAAACTTGCTGAGGTTGTTTGCAGTGCATATATATAATGATGTTACTTCTATGGAAAGGTAGGTTTTCCACTAATACTTTATCTTGAAGTTGACTCCTGATATAATTTAATCATTAGATTGATTTTAATTCATTTCTATAATCTTTTGGTAGTACTTAAATATATACTATATACATATAAATCTTTTATTCAATGTATCACATGATAAATCAATTCATCAATATTAGAAAAGGAGGTGTAAATTGGAGGTTGCCAATTTGATTTTTGAGAATATTTTTAATCTCAATATATTGATATTCCTAATCATAGCATTTATAACATGGTTCAAATTAAATGTTTTAATTTGTATTTATTCCTATTTGTGTTAGCATTTATTAATGGAAACAATGAAATAGTTTTAAATGCAATGTTATATCCACACTAGTTTAAATTTAATACAACTTTTATTTATATTATATTAGATGCAAGTAAGAAATTTATATATTACCGAAAAGATAACAGTTTTAGCTGGGGTTTTTTATTCTCAAAATAATTCTTATTCATTCCAAAATATAAACTTTGATATTGAAATTTATTACACATATATGTGATATAAGTCATTTCTAGAATTACCAAGATTGTCTTCTCTTTGATGTAAACAGATAAAATTTTTAGCATCTTAATCCGATTTTAACAGTTCTATTACAAAGTTGTTAACAGTTAAGAATATGAACATGGCAACTATAGGTGCAAACTTGGTGTGTAGCTATTTATTGATGTTGAAATATATATGTTATATTTATCTTTTAATAATAGAATTGAGATCCTTTTGAGGGCTTTGCAAACATGAAAAAGTTTATAGTTCTAGGTACAATTTCTTGTTTGATGTTTATAATCAATTTTTTTTTGCATTTCTCTATCTATGATTTTAAACTTCAATTACGCTTAAAAGTTATAAATGGCCAACAAGAAATCAGATCTTATTGAAATTTATAATGTATGTTATTTTATGTGAAACAGGTAAGAAATGGTCACACTTTTTTTTCAGTGAGCAATAGATATACTTGTATACTGCAAACAAACCTAATAGATGTGATAACTATTAATATTTTATAAGAAACTAAGAAACACTATGATATAATTTATTATAACCATAACCATTAGTTATGAATTATTCACGAAACTGTATTATTTGGGGTGATGGACATGTGTATCCGTGTATTGGATAGGGTAATACTGTTTTATAATATTAGATACATGTACAATATATTTAATGTTATATGATATTATCTTAACAGGGTTTTGTCCATCAATTTGTCTTGTAAAGAATTTTTTATTTAAGACATTTTAGAACTTAAAAGATATTAAAAAAATGTTTTAACCACTAGCATTATTAGAGATTTTAAATGACAGGATGTCTCTGGTTTGTTTTTTATACGTCCACATTTTCCGAAGGACGTATATCGCCCCTGTTCGTCCGCCCGTCCACAATTTATTTGTGAATAATCTATAGGTCACAATTCTTACAGGATTTTGACAAAACTTGAAATATAGGTTTTGCTCCAAAAGATCTTGGTTCCTTTTGATATTGGCATGTATTGGACTGAAACTTCATGGACTATTTATGGCCCCTAATTTTACTAAAAATCACGTTTTTAGCTTGTGGACTCTCTAAACGTCAAAATTTTTATCTGATTTAGACGGAACTTGAAATGTATGTTTATAACCCAAAGATCTCGGTTTCTTTCGATATTCATGCATATCAGACTGCAACTTCCCGAATAGTGGCCCCCGATTGTACGAAAAATCGCGTTTTTAGCTTGTGGGCCTTATAGAGGTCACAATTTGTTATCTGATTAAAAAAAATTGTTCAAAATATATCACCGTTACACCATAATGATGATTGAGTTCGAATTTCGTGAAAATCGGACCGAAACAGCCGGACAAAATGGCCGCAAATAGTGTTCAAGTATGTAATGTCAAGGTTGTGGACACCCAAGACGTCACAATTTTGATCCGATTTTGATGAAACTTAAAACATGTTTATATCCCAAAGTACCTGGTTCCTTTCGATATTCGCGCATATCTGACCATAACTTCCTGGATTATTACCCCTGGTTGTACGGAAAATCGCGATTTTAGCTTGTGGACTCTCTGTAGGTCACAATTTTTTATCCGATTTTAAAAATCGGTTAAACATGTCAATGTTGTACTTTGATGATGATTGAGTTCGAATTTCGTAAAAATCGCGCTGAAACTGGCAAACAAAATGGTCGCTCATTGAACGCAAATAGTGTTAAAGTGGACCCGCTAGAGTTCACAATGTTTGTCCGATTTTGATGAAACTTAAAATATATGTTTAATCCCAAAGATCTCGGTTCGTAACTCTTTGGAATATGGCTCCTGATTGTACAAAAAAGTCCAGTTTTAGCTTGTGGTGAACCCTCTAGAAGTCAGATTTTTTTTATCTGATTTTAAAAAAAGTTAAAATATATCAGTGTTTCAACCTAATGACGGTTGAGTTCAAATTTCGTGAAAATCAGACCGAAATTGCCCGACAAAATGGCCGCTCCTTGTACGCAAATAATATAAAAGTATGTAGTACCAAGGTTTTCATCTGATTTTGATGAAACTTAAAATATTTATTTATATCTCAGAGATTTCGATTCCTTTTGATATTCGCGGCATATCGGATCATAACTTCCTGGATTATGTCCCCTGATTGTACGAAAAATCTCTTTTTTGGCTTTTTTTCTGTCCATCTCTTGCAAAATGTGGGCGTATCTTGCATGTCGACCGCTTGTTTAAATAAACAAGATGATGTTTAAATCTGATAGCTGATGTGCTAATTGTTTAAAAAGGATTTCGCTGAAAGTATAGCATGTATTGAAAAGTGTGGTGGGTGATGAATTGCTCATAAATTGTTCAGTCATACCTGAAAGAACGGTGTCAATCTCTGTAAACAACTTTACAACCACGTTGAACTACTAAATCATTACTATACTAAACAGCAGAATGACTAAATTTCGATTTATTTTCCCAGTGTATCAATGATTATACGTAGCTAATGAAAGTTTGAAAGTCAAACTGTGATGAAACATCAGACATTTACAATATAGGACCCATTACAGGATAATTTCGTACTGATAATGCTCTTATAATTAGAAAGATTGATTGTCTAATATTTTATGATCAGGGCATAAATGGGGTTTCTTTTAATACGAGTTCAATGTTTAGTGAACAATAAAGAGGAAGTGGCCATCTTTTCTCTTTCTCAGAGATGTCACTGTAGACTTGCGACACCATGGCACGCAAATCAGAACAATATCCACACAATTTTCCTTCACTTGATTATTTCTATTCATTCACGGTCAATTTATTTAATTAAAATTTATGGTGACTACAGGGAAGTGAGTGTGAAAATAAATATCACCTGCTCACGATCACGAAGTTATATTGCTTTTATGCGTACGTACACGACCAATTAATAGTATTTCATATGACATTTTCATCACTGACATAATATCTAAGGATTATGTTGCAGACCGGCTTTGATAATCTAAAACCCCGTTTACATTACAAATTTTAAGCGAAACAGGCACGGTACCAGGTACAGCGCGCTTCGCATTTTTGTAGTGTAAACGGGTCAAACGTAAGCGTGCCGCGCCTGGTACGGTGCCAATCTGGCCCACGAAAGTGAGGTGGTTTCGGAACGGTACCAGGACCGGCTCGCCTTAAATTTTCGTAGTGTAAACGCTAACCGGTCTGAGCACGAATTACTGCGCATGCGCCAAATGAACCTTTACCTTTTTCCCCGCAAACTTTGACAGCTCTGTCATCAGTTCTGTCAAAATGGCTACTCAAAATAAAATTTAATCGACCATCATAATTGTTTTCATCTGGGTAATTTGTATAGGGACTGAAATTAACTTTTCTGTGAAGAGTTCCACATTTAGCGTGCTTGGCACGGTTCTGAGACCGGTTATTTTAGAGTAATGTAAACGGGCCAATTTCTTGAAATTTATCGCGGCCTGGTACCGTGCCCAGAAGGGCACGCTTATCGCAGCCAAGTGTAAACGGCGCTATAAAGGCGGCTTTTTGTAATCACGCTTAAATGTTTGCAGCGCGCTAAAGATCCACTGACAGTCGAAATAAAAACTAAATCGCCTTTGGTGAATAAAAGTAAGACATTTAAACCCCATTTACAGTCAGGTATCCTTAACCGAGGGCATTGTCAGAAAACGAGACATCCCCGTCCCACAATCACTTCTTGCGCCACCACTGAATATAATATAGTTATTAAAAATCGACAGAAAGCTACGTTACCCCTGGAATTGCTAATAACCCACCGCCATCTCTATTTCATTCTGTAGAATGTGTCATTACTGGCAACCTAAAAAACAATTGACATTACTTGTGTCAAAGACTCAAATATATCGGGGGCCTCGACCATACACACAGTGGCGGATTAGGCTCCACCAAGGCCTGAGGCGGCAGTTGCTGGAGGGCCTATTTAGTTTTTAAAGTTAGAGCCAAGGTAGTTGCTAACATTAAAAACGGGATTCGTTACTCAGGTTATAATATTATTAAAATATTAGTTATAACTATTGAAATTTGTCGTACAAAATGTTTTGACAGCAGAAACGTCACCGGAAATCAACTGTACATACACCTATTTTCAAGGATAATATTTCCTCATGATGGGGTGTTTACATCGAAACTAGCGCAAGATCTTTTGCTAGATATTTTTTCTTAAGCCAAAGTCGTTTGATATTATTGGTAATGTAACTTTATATGCCCATAAATGACGTCACGTGGATACAATATATTAAGCAAGACATAACCGAAAACTTACAAGGATTTAACGTACATTGTAGGCCTACGTTTAAAAAATAAGATCAGATCTCCAAACAATAGGGCCTATTTAAAATGGCGTGGGCCTAATTAATTTCGGGTGAGGGCCTATGTTGATTCCCGTTGGGCCTAAACCCCACCCCCTAACATTCATTGTATATGCGTTTTTAATCGTATCAGACAAGTCTAAACAAATTTTTTTTACAAAATCTTTGGGCTTGAGGCTGCAGCCTCATCAGCCTCACTGATAATCCGCTACTGCATACACATGGAAAACGAATTGATTTAGGTACAGGACAAAGCGTGACGAGGATGAATGAACCTCATCAGCCTCACTGATAATCCGCTACTGCATACACATGGAAAACGAATTGATTTAGGTACAGGACAAAGCGTGACGAGGATGAATGAACCTCTGTTAAACCCGTCACTGACCATCGAACGGGTTTGTTTTCAATGACCCTGGTGCTATTTAAATTTTGACAGATCTACAGGACTAGTACATAATTGTCCCATCAGGCAAGACTTCCAGAAACACCATTTATTGCTGTCTCGTCAAGGAATTGGGCTTTGGGGAATTTATCGCGAATGCTACATTCGAATTGAACTTTCTGTATTATCATTGGTGTGTAAATACAGATCTCGCTGCGTTCATATTGGATTCAAATGCTTCACATAACCGCGTTCTATAGTAGATTCTTACCCGTGTTCTACGACACCCCCTTCTAAGATATCAATGTCTGCTAAGGAAGCCCTTCAAGAATACATAAACTTGAATTACTCATTGACTTTCTACAGTTTTCTTCTTTGAATCATTTGATTTTGTTTATATATAGGCCTAACTATTCGACACAGTTAATAATTAGCGGTTGCCAGGAAAGATACGCCCACATTTTGCAAGAGATGGATAGAGAACAGGCTAAAAAATAAATCAGGGGCCATAATCCAGGAAGTTACGTTCCAATATGCGTAAATATCGAAAGGAACCAAGATCTTTGGGTTATAAACATGTATTTCAAGTTTCATCAAATTCGGATCAAAATTGTGTCCTCTAGAGGATCCTCGACCTTCATATACCATAATAATTACACTATTTGCGTACGAGGCCCGGGGCGGCCATTTTGTCCGAAGTTTTGGTCCGATTTTCACGAAATTCGAACTCAACCATCATTAGGGTGTAACGGTGATATATTAAAACGCTTTTTGAAATCGGATAAAACTTGTGACTTCTATTTGCGTACGAGGCCCGGGGCGGCCATTTTGTCCGACAGTTTTGGTCTGATTTTCACGAAATTCGAACTCAACCATCATTAGGGTGTAACGGTGATATATTAAAACATTTTTTGAAATCGGATAAAACTTGTGAATTCTAGAGGGACCACAAGTTAAAAACGCCATTTTTTTCGTACAATCAAGGGCAATAATTCAGGAAGTTAAGATTCGATATGCACGAATATTGAAAGAAACCAATGTCAAAATCCATGAAGTTTCGATCCGATACATGCCAATATCGAAAAGAACCGAGATCTTTTGGAG